ACATTAAAGTGATCATCAGGGTTTTACAGTGAGAAGGAATCCAGCCTCCAACTGTTAAAATTTCATCCTTAAATTGCACGGCAGTGTAGTGAAGAGTTTACTGGACTGGGAGTCAGAAAGACCTGGGCTCACATACTATCTCAGATATTTATTAGCTGTGTGTCCCTGGGAAAGTTGCTTCAACTCTCTGGGCTTCCGTTTCCTTCATTTCCTTAAAATAATAGGGTTGGAATTGATGGTCTCCCGGGTCCCTTCCAGTTTTCTCAATCTGTGATCCTGAGAGGAAGCCTAAATTTGCCCCGCTGCGACTTCTTTCCAGCTCTCTAATTCTACCTTCTGGGGCCAAGTAGGACAGTGACATCGTCCCGAGAAGATCGATACTAACAAATGAAGCTTCGGCCTTTGATTCTGAGCCAAAGACTGTTTGCTTGAGCTGCGTCCATTTTCACGGTCCCAGTCCAGCGTGCATAAATTTGAGGGGGAGCATTGAGTAGCTAGAGAATCAAGCTGACACATACGGGCTCTGGGACTTTGCAAGTCCATTAAACTCTCAGGCAACTCTTCAAGACTAGAAGTCACAAAACAGGTGGCTATCTGCATTGGAAGAGAGTTTGCTCCCTCGAGAGTTTCAATCATAATAATAGCTTACATTTACATAGCATTTACTATGTGCCAGGTACTATACTAGGTGCTTTACAATTATTATCTCATTTGATCGTCACAATAACACTGAGAGGTAAGTGCTATTATCATCCCTATTTTTACAGGTGAGGAAACTGAAGCAAACAGAGGTTAAGTGACTTGCTCAGGGTCACACAGGTTGGATGTGAACTCGGGTCTTCTAGGCACCAGGCCTGGTGCTCTATCCACTGTGCCAGTTACCTGCCTAAATACCAGTGAAATCACAAGTCCAGTCCAAAGCAAAAATGTTAAATCCCCAAACATTAACTGTCAATAAAATGTGCACATTTTGAAAATCATGCATGAAATTATAAATTCCAAACTATTTACTAAATGGAACTAAATGGAAAGAATATATGTATATGTGTACACACATATATATTATATATGTATACACACACACACCTTAAAATAAACTTATATACTTTTTTCTTCCTCTTCTTTTGCCTACTTATCAGGTTTTATTGCTATTTTTTATATAGTGGCAGTCAATGGGTGTCATTTTTCTGATTTTGCTTTGTTCTGCAGCATTTCTCATGTCTTTCCGTATTTCTTTGTATTCTTCACATCAAAGTTCTTCATACTCTGGCCCCTTCCAACTTTCCATACTCCTGACCTCTTACTTCCCTCCACGTACTCTCTAGTCTAGCTACGCCAGCCTATTTGAACATCTTCCAACACAATCTTTATCTCCTCTCAATCCATGCTTTTGCGCTGGGTGTCCTCCATGCCTGAAATGCTGTGCCTTCTCTCTTCCTCGTTAGACTCTCTGGCTTCCTTCAAGACTCAGCTCAAATCCAGTCTTCTTCAGGACACCATTCCTTGCCCTGCCCAGGGGCTGACTCTCTAATATTGCCTTCATTTACTCAGCATGTATCTTTGTATGTACCTAGAGATTTACGTCTTGTCTCCCTCACTAGAACGTCTGCTGCTTGAGAACAGTGATTGTTGGGATGTGTGGGGCGGGTTGCCTTTCCTTATCTCCAGTAGCAAGGGTACATTAAATGTTTGTTGACCCGACTTCATATTTGTCACTTCTTTGGTGCAATAATAATTCTATTACTCTGATTCAGCAAAATTCATTTAGCTATTCCCCAATTGTTGGACACAGAAGTTACTTCCAGTTTTCTGCCACTACAAATAAAGATGCTGAATATTTTTGTACAAATAAGTCTTTTTTTCCCCCCTTTCAACAACAATCTTAGTATATTGCCCTAGTATTCAGATCATTGGATACAAATCATTGGTTTTTGCTATTCTTATTACACTGTCTGGTTGCTTTCCAAAGTGACTACAACAAATCAGCTTCACCAACAATGTAACAGCATTTCTGTTCCCTCTTACCCTGACCCAATTTTACCCATATTTAATTTTATTATTTTAAGTCATCTTTGCCAAATGGACCAACTTGCATTTCTCTTAGTATTCGAGAGTGTGAGAAGTTTTTAGGTGGAATTGGTGTTTCTTCCTTCAAAAATTACTATATATATCCTCTTGGGGATAGGTATTAGGCTTGTAAGTTCTTGAAAGTTCCTTGTAGATTCTGAATGTCAGATTATTATCAGATACATTTATTGTAAAGATTCTCTCCAATATCTTTTTTTTTTTAGTTTAGACACACTGCTTTTGTTATACAAAAATAACTCTTTGTTTTTATATTCTAATACATATATTTTTGTCTCCAATAATTTCTTCCATTCATTTAATAGATAATTTGGTAATTTCTTAGTTTTAGCTCAGTAATTCCCAGCCTGGGTTTATAACATTCCAGATTTATTTCAGTTATTTTTATTTTTAAAAATTCACCCATTTATTTTAGAATCTCGATTCTGTTGGCAGTAGACTCTGATAATTTTCTTAATTTCTTTTTTCTTTGATAGTGTAGTTTCAAAATTTATCAATGACATACCTGCCTGAAATAAATCTGGAGTTCCTCCTTGGTGTCCTGTCAATTCTAGTGTTTGTTTTATTTTTAATATTTTCAGGAAGTTTTCTTGTACAATTTCCTAAACTACATTGGTCAAATTATTTTACTTCTTCTTTCTAGAAATTCAACAACCCTGAGCTTCCCATTGCTTAATCTACCTCCATATTTATCACTTATTTCTGCATTATTTACCCATCTTTTGCCAGTCATTTTCTGGCTTGCTTCTCTTTCAAATGTGTCTTCTACCAATCTGTCTTCCAGCATATTTTTTTCACTGTTTCTACTGAGGATTTTCTATTTTTAGTGTTGTTTTCTAAGTTCCTAAGGTTCATCACTGAAGATTCCTGAGATTTCTTAGCTGCACCTAGTTCCTCTCCTTTTCTTCCTCAACTTTTGACTGTCTTTCATTCCTTTCATTCCCTTCCTTATTGTGTATACCATCCAATTTGTTGCATCCTGAGGAATCTCTTGTTTTATTTCTAATGCTATTTTCAGTATATCTTTCTTGTGGTGTTTTCACCCAACTTTTTTTCTTCCATTATATTTTCTGATTATTTTGGACTGTCCTTAAGTTGAGCGCTTCTACTGCTATTTTTGAGGGGAATGAAGTGTGTTCTTTCCTGTGACAGTCTAACATCTTTTTCCAGTTCTGTTTCTAATGATTCTTCACAGACTATGTCTGTTGCATTCTTCTTGTTTTCATTCCCACTGCTACCTCTGCAGTTCAAACTTTTGTATCTTAGGCCTGGACTATTTCAATAGCTTAACTGGTTTCCCCACATCCAGTTTCTCTTCTAGTCAATCCATCTGCTCCCAGATTAATTTTCCTAAAAATCCACTGATCACATCAATCCCCTTATTAAAAACATTTAATGACTCTAAGTCCACCAATTTTCACTCCTATTTTCTTAAATAAATGAACCCCTTACACAAAACTGGCCTACTTACCATTCTTTAAATATTTTTTTCTTTCCATGACCAACCATGTTGTTGTTTTATAAACAAAACAAATATTTTAGTTTAAAAAGTTATCTTCATATGGTAATTGCATCAACAGAACTAGCTAATCATATTTATTACTTTTTTTGATTCTGTGCCTTTGTTCATGCTGCTACACACACACACACACACACACACACACACACACATACACACACACACCCTAGACATACACAGACACTCTTTCTCTACTCCTTTTTTAAATAAACATCCTATCTCTCCTTCAAGGACAAGCTCAAATATCCCACTGTGCCCCATGAACCCTTTCCTGATTACTATAGCCAGAAATTATTTTCCTCTTCCTCTAAAATTCCTGTAGTACTCAAATGGTGCTTACCAGACATTGTACAGATTTTTGCATCTTAACTTTCCAACTAAATTACAAGATATGGAAGACAGAGACTATATTTTATGTTTAGGTTTTTATATCTCCCATAGCATTTAACTCAATGCCCTGCATAATTAGGTATTTAATGTAAATAAATGATTAGAATAAGTAAGAGTTTGAATCCACAGAGATCCATTGAGACAGCTAGGTGGTGTAGTGGATACCTAACCAATAGGCCTAGAATCAGGAAGATCTGAGTTCAAATTTGGCCTCAAATGCTTACTAGTTATGTGACCCTGGGCAAGTCACTTAACCAGTTTGTCTCAGTTTCCTCAACTGTAAGACAAGGATAATAAAAGGACCTACCTCCCAGGGTAGTTGTTAAGATCAAATGAGATATTTGTAAAGAGCTTAGTACAGTTCCTGGCACACAGTAGGTACTTAATAAGTACTTGTTCCCCTTACCATTGATTATGGGATAACAAGAATCAGGCTTCTTATGTTACTTAGCTATCCTACCACATGTCCTATACCGTTTTATTGCACATGAATAAGTTGTCTGTTTTAAAGGAAAACACAACCAGTTTTATAATAGCAGCTATGACTGTTAGTAAGATTTTTGGTAATGATACTTCTGTATGTTTTAACACTTCTCAAATCTCACTACAAAAACACACACACACACAATGCTACTGAATAGCAAAGACATTTAAAAAATTTAGACAATTTTTGGAAAATTTCACAATGGCCCTTGCAGTAACTCAAGGTACTCAGTGATGTTACAAGGCCAAAATTGAAAACCACTGAGCAAATGAGACCTAATTTTTTAATTAATATTTATTTTTTAAAATATTTAAAACACATAATAAGTAGTTCATGGAAATGAATGGTAATATCCACTTAGCTTTGATTATCTTGGTCTACTTTTCTGCTGAACTGCTTCAGTGGAAAGTTCAACATACATGTAAAAGCTAAATTAAAATTTACCAGTTTCATTCAGTATATGAAATATAGCCAAATGTTTCCCAAAGTAGGACACTGATTATGTGACATGTTTTAATACAGGTGGAAAGGGTCGAAAATAACCTATTAATATGGTGATCCACAGCTTTCAAATGTAAGTTTTAATTCTGATATTGCTATGTTAATGTAAGTGCAGCTGACATTATCAGTTTCCACTGAAAAAGACATAAGACCAATAAAATCAAATCTGTGGACTCATTCTGGAAATGCTAACACTTAGAAAAAGTACATTTACTAAACTTTTAAATGGGGCATAGTGCTTTATTAGTAATAAGCAGTCTAATTTCTTAGAAAGTGAATTCTTTTATTCTCTAGTCAATAAGCAGGTCACATACTTTTTTACCAAGTATTTAATTTTTTTTAAATCAACTGTCTTAAGTTTTCTTGATTCACTTTTGTCTTTTGGGAGTGATGCCTCTGTATCTTTTAATTCTCTACTCAAGTTTCACCACACACATAGACACACAGACACACAAAGTGCTCCTGAATAATTATTTTTAAAATATTTATTTTAATCATACTTCTTTGAAATGCCAAATCAAGCATTTTACCTGTTATACTCTTCCAGTATGGATGGTTCAGTGTGTGTTTGTCTTTTGAAAAATGAAAATGTCAATGAAGACGTCATCCTTTAATGGGAGTCGTCTATCCAATTAATCCATTTTTAAAAAATGTACAACTAGTGAATCTTAATTCAACTTGGTCAAATTTGAATGTTCAAATACCGTGGTTCCTCAAAATTAAATTACTAATTTGGGCATTAAAGTTAATTCTTAGAAAGCAAAAACTAAAAGGTTATAGGCATTTAAAAGATGTATGTAAACTAACTTATCTTAATATTTTTGCTCTGCTAGCTGAAGAAGATTTAGGAAGTACTGGTGATGACAAAAAATCCAAAACGTGTCAAATATTGTAATGTAATCCAATTGGACTAAGTCACAAAGATTTTCTGCTGATGGAGAAAAACTGAAAATGACTAAAGAGTTTCCATGGATCTTAACTAAGTACTGAACAATAAAACAAAAGAACCATCAAAAACAGCAAAAGTACAAAGTACAAAGAATGGGTATGACCTTTGGATCTAAAATCTTAAAATTAAATCATGCATAATCTATGCACTATCCACAAAACCTTAAATAAACTACTCGTTAGAAATCAGTTTCCTTTTAATACCTGAAGTCAGCTTTCAGAGTCAAAATCCTTCAAGTCAACAAAAGTTTGGACACAAGAAACAAGGAATACAAGATGAAGAGAGCTACTCTTCAAGATTTCCTCCATCTGCAATAAACATCATCCTTTCTTTCTCCATATCTCATTAGATATTTTAATCATCTAGATAATATCACTTGCCAGTAGTTTATAATAAATCATAGCTTTGTGCCAATAAAGGCTCAAAACATCTTTCCTATTGCTTGAACCTTTGTGACAATATTTCATTAAGTTAAAAAAAGCTCATGTCCTCACAAAAAAATTATCACCTCTTCAGTTTCATACACAGACATACACATGTGCATTTATGTAAAATTTTTAACATTTCTGGAATTATTTGTCAGACATGTAAAAAGTATTATTTTGACAAATAAAACTGGGGAAAACATTGCTTTGAACATATGGTAAATTTCTTGAGTCCACAGTAACTTAAAGCTAAAAATAAGCAGAAATAATCTACTTCAGACTAAAACGGAAAAAAAAGACTTAAGGATGTCAAAAGATTTCTAAATTAGAATAGACTGACGGCAATTCAAGACAACTGGAGGACTTGTTTATTCTTAGAAATGAATGTAAACATATTCTACTCTGCACCAATAGTTTCGTTTTAAGTAGCAAAATAAAGTTTTACTGACAAATTTCCATCTTAACATTCTTTAATAGAGAATCATTAAGGACAAGTATGACTGGATAGGGAAGTAGACCATGTATAGAGCAGGAAATAGACTCAGTTCACTGACATTCATAAAATATTAAAAGAAGGCCTTATTCAAACTGGGTAGATTCTCTGTGTAGAATTCATTGGAAGACCTGGATAAAAAATGCACAGTATGAAAAGAGATGGCAAAATCTACTAGACGTAGTCATACCAATGAGACCATGGCTCCCTTAAAATACTAGAGTACAAGTAATTAATACCCTAAAATTGGTTTTTCCTCTATTCAATGGTACATCAATGGAATAAATAAAATCTAAAGTAACAAGTCTGATTTTTAAAAAATATGCAAACACTGAATGTATATGTCTAAAAGATTATTTTCCTGCAAAGCATTCCTTTGGAAGGTTTAACACTATTCAAAGCATTTTTGGAAATGCCTTCAGGGCCAATTAATAGACCACATAAAATCAATCTCATTTGGGGTAGCTAGGTGGCACAGCGGATAGAGCACCAGCCCTAGAGTCAGGAGGACCTGGGTTCAAATCCAGCCTCAGACACATAACACTCAACCCCATTGCCTAGCCAAAAAAAAAAAAAAAAAATCAATCTCATTTATAATCATACCGCACTTTGATCCAATTTGATGTTGACTAGATTGATCCACCACTTTATTCACGGTGGTTTCCAGAAGTCAAATAACAGACTTCTATCTTGAGCTGGATGAGACTTTAAAAGTCATCTAATCCAACTCCTTCATTTTATAAATAGAGGAGTAGAAAGGGGGTAAAGTGTCAAGCTCAAACCGCTAATAAGTTACAGTCAGAAACTGCAATCAGATAGCCTAAGCCTAGCATTTTTTCTATGACACTACCAAAAGTACAAAAGTTCACTACCATTGAGGATATTCAGAAAAATGTGTTGCAGTCTCTGAAGGCAACTCTAAGTCACACCTTATATTACTACTGCCTTCAACAAATATTTTAAATTTCCAATTATGAAATGAAGTATTGAGTTTACAACAATACTATAAAGGTTTCCTGGTCTTATCCTCACCCGGTACGTCAAAGTATTTAGATTTTATGTTTTGTAGCAAAAAATGGCAACAGATTAATTCCAAAGTCCCCATACCACTGATACTGTCTTCTAGCAACTGGATTACACTCTAGTAAAAAGTTTGTGTTATAACAAAGAATTAACTTTTAAATCCATTACCTTATTTTAAAGAGGCCTCTTTAAGTAGATTTTCTCTATTATTTAAACATAACAAATATTTCCTTGCTCAATCAACTACGTATGCGTAATTCTCTATTTCATTAAATATCCATTTTTTCCCCTGTAGGGCTATATTCAATTTTTTTTTCTTGGTAATAGATCTATATCCTTTGCTTTCTAGAATGTCATATTCTAAGTTCTCTGATCCTTTATAATTGTGGTTGCTAAATCATACATAATTCTGACTATGGCTCCTTGGTTCTTGAATTTCTTTCGCTGCTTGAAGCATTTTTTCCTTTGACCTGGAAGCTCTGGATTTTGGCTCTGATGTTCCATAGAGTTTTCATTTAGGGTTATCTTTCAGGAAGTAACCTGTGGTTTCTACTTTGCTCTTTTATTCTAAGAAATTTGAATAGGGTTTTTTTTTTTTAAAACATTTCTTGAAATAGGATGTGTAGGCTCAGTTTTTGGTCATGGCTTTCAAGTAATCCAACGATTCATAAGATTTTCTCCTTGATCTGTTTCCAGGTCAGTTGTTTTAGCTATGTGACACATTACATTTACTTTGTTTTTTGCGGCCTCTTGACTTTGTTTTAATATTTCTTGTCTAATGTAGTCTTGGCTTTCTATTTGGTATACTCTAATTTTCAGGGCATTTGTTGTTTGGACAAGGTTTTTGTACCCCTTGTGCCAAGTTATTAATTTTCTTTCCAATTCTTTCTTCCATAGCTCTAATTTTTTCCTAATTGTTTCCTCAAGAGTTCCCATTTCACTTATACAAACTTCTAAAAACTCTTGCTGACATTTCTTCCAAGAATTCTAGTTAAGTTTGTGCCCAAGCTATGTTTTTTTGAGGCTTTGGTTGTAGATGTTTTGGAGTTGTTCTTTTCTGCATTTGGGTCTTGAGCATTCCTGCCACCATAACTTTATGTGGGATTCTCTCTCTCTTTTTTTTTTGACCTATTCTTCCAGCTTACTTCCTCACTTTAGATTGAATGTTAAGGCTGGGCTCTACAGCCCTTATGGAAAGTAGGTCTGGTCTGGTCTTTCTGCTGTTTTTTTTTTTGGGGGGGGGCAGGGAGGTATTGTGTTATTTCAGGATCTCAGCAACAGGCTAGGGATCTGCAAGCTTTCAATGTTCTCAAAGTGGTCTGATCCAGGACAAAAAGTCTGCTGCCTCCCTGGTCTGAGCTCTGCAAATTCCTGAGTGAGAACAGAATGATAGTAGACTCAGGTCCTATTAGCTAGCCAGAAATTCTGCTGGTTCAGAGTGACAGAACTGCAGGCTGGGATTGATCTGGGATTCTTGTCCTGATTATACTTCTGAAGGCTGGGTTAGATGCTGGACTGAGATCCTACTATACTCCTGTGGTCTGAGCCAGACCGCTGCTGTTCCCTTCTAGACATTCTCCTTTCTCAGTGTACCGCCCAGGGGCCTGTCTACTAAAGAATGCCTCTTTGGAGCAGGTGCTCTTCCTGTCTGCCCTGGATCTATGACCCGGAACTGGGTTGTGGGTGACAAATCTGTCAGCTGGCACCTGTCCCCATCGTAGTGCCCTGATGTGGGTATGGGGGCACAGTGATTTGGGTCTACCACTTCCTCTTGCCCTGGTACACGGCTTCTCTCTGGGCTCTATAGTGTTCCATGCATGATGTGATCTTGGACTGACCCATCCACAGTATCCATAGACCTGTCTTTCTTCCTATGCCAAGGACTGAGCTGGAATTTTGGAATTTTCCTCTCCGGATTCAATTTGGTGCATTTTCTAGATCTGTTTGGAGTAGTTTCGTGGATGGGAGCTCAGCTGCTTTGCTTCCTCCTGCTGTGCCACTTTGGCTCCACCTCCTTGTCCAATTAACATTAAATTTGTTTCCAAACCTAAAGATTTTTCATTCAAAATCTATACCTATGACACTATAATTTATTAAAGTCATCTTTTCCCTTATGATTTTTAATTAGTTACTCTCTTTTTAAGTACTAAAGATATAAAGAATGAAAGTATCTTATTAAAATACTTTATTGTATATTCAACTATTTATATCTCATTCCTATTCTTTACAAACATACCAAATCCTTTCCATTCTCAAAAATCACATTTTTTTATCATTGAAACCATAGGCTAATAGTAATTTGAGTAGAAAATTCACTTAACACAATGTAGATCACAAGCTATTACAGTAACTAACACAGGAATGGACTATTTACTTCTTCCTAATGGCACAGAACAAATTGCGTAATCCATGTTACTCTCCTCCACAGTGCCTGATACATCAAACTCGATGACTAAATAAATGGGTATAGTGAACATTAAAAAAAAGCAGATTCAATTGCACATTTTATGGTTTAATATCATAATAACTAATCAATTCTATAAAAAAGTCTTTAAAAGTTAACATGGTATTGATATGGGTTTCAATGAAACTAATAGAATTTTGTAGTCACTTTTAACCCATTTTCTCATTACCATCCATCATTATCCAAGAACCTACTCTCTTTTACAGGTTATCTGTGTTACTATATCCAAGAATGTATATGTATATAACTTATTCAGTTAAATCCTCTCAGTGTATATAAACTGTTTTTCTCAGTGGCAAACACTTCAGAAAGCACACAAACTCTTAGAGGCCAAGATAATAGCTAGTGTTTGAAATATACAACAGTAATAATTTTGTATATGGGACTCAAGTGGCCCATGACTTCTATTGCAACAAATTCCACTTGGTTACTAAGTGTGGAAAGACATAGTGAGGAGGCCAGGCAAGGACAGGTGGGACTAAAGTGAGAGAATGCTAGACATGCCCCCTGACTGAACAGAGTAAGTGTGTAAATGAAGATGCCAAAATTATGGGGGAATGGGTCATGAAAAGTGAAATGAGAGGGGAATGGAGAAGACCAACTTGACTTGCTTTCTAATTTAGCCTCAATAAAACTTTTATTATTTAGAGTAACTACAATGGAGAAAACCAGTCTGAATTGGTAAAAAACATAAAATATTTTAATAGTTGTAGTGGAACCATGCTCTATTGATAACATTCTTCATAGAGATTTTGTGACAAAAACACTTGGTAAATAAGCCAGAATTATGTAATATGAGCTAATATAGTTATCATCACACTACTAGAAATCATATCCTACTAAGAATTAAAGGATGAAATACAGCTTCTGATTCTCTGAAGTAAATTACTAAGTGAAGAGAGCCATTCAAACTTCTTCACCCCACCTCTAAGCCTGCAAACTTTTTTCTGTTATATTTTATTGAAGTAAATGGTCTGGGAATTTAGATAGGAGGGGAAAGGGGGACTTTTCTTTTCCTCTTCCCCATAAACAGAATAAAATCAACAACATTTTTAGAAAATGACTTTTGTAGATAGAGAGATCAGAGAAAGCATTTTTTGTAGTAGGATATTTTTGTAGGCAATTAACCAAACCAGCAAAAACACTTACTACAGGCCATCCCCACAGCTTCATAATATTCATAATAATAATGGACTAGACCATTAGATTTCATAGACCAATGATTTCATTGGCATAGGGGAACCCTCTACTAATGCAGATTAATATCTGCTCTGCAACATGAGAGTCATAAGAGATTTGTCTAGGGGCACTGAGAGGTTAAATGACTTGCACAGATCACAGAGCCAGTATGTGTCAGAGGCATGACATGAATCTACATTTTTCTGTTGAAAACAGAGGCCAGCTTGCTAAGTACTTGGCCACCACACCTCCCTATAATATTCCCTATAGAATTACTTTACTTATAACACACTTCAGAAGTTGCCTCACTTCCAAGTAGTAATTTAAACAAAGAACATACTAACAGCAAAGAACAAAACACATACCAAAACTGATTTTCTAAGGATAATCCTCTGCAAATTTAACAAGAGGAGGGAAGAAGGCCTACCTGGTCAATATCACTTCCCAACTCCTACCTCCCACTTCTCTTCCCTCATCTCAAGTAGAGGTTCTGCAAGAACCAGTTGGCTCCTCTGTTCCTTAGCAAAACAAATTCCATTTAAGGATATATGGAAAAGGACAGAGGTAAGGAGAACAGTATGCTTCTTATGGTTCTCTCCAGCAAACTTCCACTCCTAATTATAAGATTCCTTCATATAGCTTTCATAGTATCACAGAGAAATAGCTATAAGATAAGAATTGTCTTCTATAGTCAAATATGAACTGGACTTGAGGAAGAAATTTGGGGAAAAAGCAATGCAAGAAGGTTTTTTTTTTCCTTTCTAAAATAGTATTTCCTTGTGAGCAAGGATGAAATAAATCACATGTCATCCTTCTTGAAAATCTGTCCAAATTTAACCACTGATGAAACTGACTTTGTGGCCAAGTGATTTAAGCCTCTACAGAAGCAATTAGCTCTACAGGTTATGCAGAACTGCACTCTGTAACAAAGTTAATGTGTCAAATAAAGTACATTACTGTCAGATGTAGCTGGATGATTGGCTGTTTCTAAACAGAAACTACTCAAGTTTCAACTTGATAAAGAAAACATAAAAGTCTAATTAAAAAAAGAGGCTCAAGGAAGATTTTCACATTAAGGAATAAAGGCTCCATCCTTGATGCTTCACAGAAATAGATCTTGAAAATATTCATCAAACTCTTCTTCCCTGTTAAAAGAAAAAAAAGATCAGAAGTTTTCCTAGAAAGGTTCATGATATTCTGGTTTTTAATCTATGGAATGGAAAATGAAGGCAACTGTTACTATTTCTTTCCACATGGGACAGGTTATCGTAGGAGTTTTTAAAGAATATACTATTTATACCCTATTTAAGTATATACTAGAGGGATTTAAGGAATAGATGTCAATCTTTTTAGCTTTAAGAGTCCATGGTTCTTCTACACAACCTTGTCTACTTTTTGTGACAGCCACTAATACACATAGCCCCTATAGCCAAGAGGTACATTTATAACAAGAGCTGGGATCATTCTCTGTTTTATCCTCTTTCTGGCTAGAGATTTGGAATAGATTCTGGTCTCCCTAAGCCATGTCATCTCTGCCATAAAAGCAGTCATTTTTGATACTGAACCTCTGCATTAGTTACTAAAGACAGGACAGGATGGTAACTTTCAGATGAAGTTTTTAAGTTTGTTGCACTGCTTATCAATAGCAAAACTTACTGTGATTTTTCATCTGTTTCCTGCAGAGGACCCTTCCATAGCTCTGCTTCTGAAGTACCTTCTTCCTCATCACAGTTTTCTAAGGAAATTAAAATTTGAAAGTTACTTAAAAAAAAACACACACACACATTTTGAGCAACCAATAGCTTTATATTCACATCATGACCCACCAAGACATTAAATTAGCTTTGAATCTAACTGCAACTTGGTTTCTATCATTGCAGTATATTGTAAACTTAATTATATTAGCCAATAAATATTAAGAAGCTTTTTAAAAAATTGAGCAAAACAATAGGTGTGTACCAATCAGCTCTTTCACTGAAATTCTCAGCAGAAAGATCAAAGATTTAGTAGCTCATGAAATGGTTTTTCAAGTTTCACTGAGCTAAAGTAACTATAACAACTGTCTTACTAATGAACTTCTGGGAGTGACAATCTATCTGCCATGCACAAAGGATGCTTATGTTTTATAGTTTTGGCTTTACTTATGTTTTTTTTCTTAATATATGTAGGCTTCATCCTTACAGCAGGATTAAGATTTAAGGAACTTACATTCCCCAAATGATAAATGGTCAAAGGATATGAACAGGCAGTTTTCAGATGAAGAAATTAAAGCTATCTATAGTCATGAAAAATGCTCTAAGTCACTATTGATTAGAGAAACACAAATCAAAACAATTCTGAGGTACCACATCACACCTAACATGACAAAGCAGGAAAATGATAAATGCTGGAGAAGACGTAGGAAAATTGGACACTAATGTATTGTTGGTGGAGTTGTGAACTGATCCAACCATTCTGGAGAGCAATTTGGAACTATGCCCAAAAGGCTATAAAAATGTGCCTACCTTTTGACCCAGCAATACCACTTCTAGGTCTGTATTCCAAAGAGATCATACAAATGGTAAAAAGACCCACATGTACAAAAATATTTATAGCTGCTCTTTTTGGGGTGGCAAAGAATTAGAAATTGAGGGAATGCCCATCAACTGGGGAATGGCTGAACAAGTTATGGTATATGAATGTAATGGAGTACTATTTTGCTATAAAAACAGGCAGACTTCAGAAAAAACCTGGAAAGACTTATATGAACTGATGCTGAGTGAAGTAAGCAAAACCAAGAGAACATTGTACACCACAGCTGCCACACTGTGCAATGACTGACTTTCATAGACTTAGCTCTTCTAAGCAATGTAAGGATCTAAGACAACTCCAAAAGACTCACAATGGAAAACACTATCCACACCCAGAGAAAGAACTATAGAGTCTGAATGCAGATGGAAGTGTACTATTTGCTCTCTTTCTTTTTCTTTTTCTGTTTGTTTCTTCTTTCTCAGGGTTTCTCCCATTGGTTCTAATTCTTCTTTACAACATGACTAATGTGAAAATAGGTTTAATATGAATGTATACAGAGAGCCTATATCAAATTGCATGCTGTCTTAGGGCAGGGGTAGGGGAGAGATGGGAAGAAAATTTAGAACTCAAAATCTTATGGAAGTGAATGTTGAAAACTAAAAATAACTAAGAAATTTTTTTCAAAAGATTTAAGGGACTTGATTTTCTTAGCTCTAGTGAAAGATTCTAGCTCTAGAAAAAATTGCCATGGTTTATTATGATAAAATATTTTCCAAATATATAAAACAACATATTTCCAAGAAAAAAAGAATAATTACAACTAATTTTAGATGGTCCTTTCTGTATTAAATAGTATTACAAAATGTTAAATACTGTATCATACAGCATTAAAATTATGCCTACACAAAGTAATAGTTAGCAAATGATTACCTGTCAATAACAACCATTTATGTTAAAAAAAAAAAAAAGGAAAGAAAGGAATCAACAAACAAGAATTCTGTTTGTCAATGCACAATGTTACTTAGTTTAATACACTGTGAAAACAAAGTAGTATTGATTTGCCATGGTGGCCCTAAATCTGTTGGACTCCGATCCTTATATAAACACAAGTATCTGAACTTTGGTCCTAACCTAGTCTGTTCTGGCACAGAATGCCAACAATAACAACAACAAAAGATAGGAAAAAAGAACCACTTAACACCAAATGCAAAGAAAATACCATAATAAAAGTCTGAGAATAAATAATCAACCTCAGGCTCAATAATGAGTACTTAAATGGGAATTATTGATACTGCAATTTGAACTACATGAAAAGAGAGCATAAAATCCACTTGTACCATTTCTACTAAAGTTCACTGCAATAAGGTAGAGAAAGAAAAAGATGATTATTTAGGAGTCTTTTAGTCAAACAATCACTCTAAAGGCACTCTGCTAATTCTATAGAGAATAAGATTTACAAAGCTTTTGAAAGCTCTCATGCCAAGATTCTTGTCCCTGAACCAACTTTCAATTGGCTAATAACAACCATTCCATCTCTCTGTGTCCTTCCCAAGGATTCTCCCTTAATGCAGCCTTTCTGTAACAGTTTGTTTTGGAGGAGGAGAGGAATCACATAATCTAAGTTTAATGATGAAAATAAGTAGAGGTTAGTTTAGTGCATGGGTGTGGAACCTGTGGCCTCGAGGCCACATATGTCCTTCTAGGTCCTTGGGTGCAGCATTTTGACTGAGTCCAAGTTTTACAGAACAAATCCTTGTTTGGTGAAGTTTGGATTCAGTCAAAGGGCCACACCTGAGGACCTAGAGGGCCACATATAGTGTTGAGGCCACAGGTTCCCCACCCATGGTTTAGTGTAAGACAACTCCTTTACTTTGAAGAGTTATAAACACAAGACATAGCTAAGTATCTTCAAAGAACCAATTTTACAAAGAAATGTTATTTCCTCAAAAATGACAATGGCTTCAAGTTATCACAATAGTGCCTGCTGCTACCTTTTGAATTTGGGAATGGTGTTACTATGGAAACAATGGTGAGAGAATGTCCAGTTCAAAGCAGGATTCATGCTCCAATTTCAAAACTATTCAGTAATTACTGGCAAATATGTACATGCAGACATTTACCTGATCAATCAGATACTAAAATGAAGCCCACATGAAAATGTTTTAATTCTAGTGAAGAAATCACTAAAATCTCCAATTAATAATACATTAACAAATGACTCAATGAGTAAGCTCTGGGTCTGTACTCAAACAGAAAAATGGATGCATTTGAAGTCATTTTGTGAGGATCATTTTTTGGAATAAGCTAATAAATCAAAATTATGTCACATGCCACAAAGAATGCAGCCTCAGAACAGTAGTCCTCTTTGAAGACCAACTACTCCTTTCATGACCAAAGAATGTGCTGCTCTCTGAACAGAATGAGGTGTCAGAAAAAGAGTGGTAGAAGAACAGAGAATAATAATAGCTGACACACATATCTGCACAATGCACCTATGTAGATATAATATTATTTGATTCTCACAACAACTCTGTTGATGCAGGTGCTATTATGTTATCCCCATTTCATAGATGAGGAAACTGGGGCTAAAAGGTTAAGTGACCTGTATAAATTTTCACAGCTAAGTGTTTGAGGGAAGATTCAAACTCAGGTTTTCCTGGTTCCCAGTTTGGCACTCAATCTACCATGCCATCTAGTTATCCTTGTTATTACTCCTCCATTGACTGTAAGCTCCCTGAAAGCAAGACTGTTTTGTGTCTTTTTATGCCAGCGTCTAGTACAACATATGAGCGCACAGTAGGAATTTAATAAATGCTTGTTTGACGAAGACAACCTACTATGGTTATCACTGGCATACATTTGGGAATAAAAAAGCTTTATTCACCAAAATTTGAGCAAAAGAAGTCTCTATAACTGATGCCCACAGCACATTAATATGACGGATTATACACAGCTACTAAAATAATTACCGCTAAGCAAATACTTCTGCAATCATAAATGACTTGAACATGCATCCATAGGTTCAAAAAGGGAATATGTTAGATGAGATAAGAAACAGATGAGCTCAACTAGGTTGACTGATAGAGCCTGAAGACTTGCTTAGCTCAGAAGACCCAACTCTCAGTCTCAGTTCTTCAATTTCCTAGCTGGGTTATTTTGGGCATGAAGAACCTCACTGGCAAGAGAGCCCTCATGGATCATCCAGTACAACCTATACTTCAAAAGGAATTCCTCTTGCAACATTTCTAGGAAGTGATATGATAGCCTTCATTGAAGACTTTCAATGATGGAGAATTGTTCTCTTTTGTCTAGCTCTAACTGTAAGAAAGTACTTCATTATATAAAATAAAGTCTACTTTTTTGTAACTTCCAACCACTGCTCCAAAGTCTGGTCTCTGAGGCCATGCAAAATAAGTACAGTGTCTCTTTCACATGACTTACTTCAATATATTGACAGGTGTATGATCTCATCAGGATAAGTACTTCCTTCAATCACACATACTGCAACTTATCCAGAGCAATTTCACCAATATTGATGCAAAAATTTAAAATAAAATACTAGTAGGGAAACAGCATTAATATATCACAAAGATCACACACTATGATCACACAGGATTTATATACCAGGAATGCAGGGCTGGTTCAATATTAGGAAAACGAAAAGCACAACTGACATCAAAAACAACAAAAATCATACAATTATATCAACAGATGGAGAAAAAGCTTTTGACAAAATATAATACCCATTCCTATCCAAAACACTAGAAAGCACAGGAATAAATGAAGCTTTTCCTATGATAAAAATATCTATATAAAACCAAGAACAAGCATTATCTGTAATGGGAGCCTTTCTAATACAAAAAACTTTTCCAATACAATCAGGGGTGAAGCAAGCACGTGCTTTATCACTACTATTATTCAATACTGTTTTAGATTTTTAGCTACAGCAATAAGAAAAGAAAAAGAAACTGAAAGAATAAGAATAGGCAACAATATGGTGTCTATATAACAGTAGAGCAATACTTAGAGAACTCTAGAGAATTAACTAAAAAACTAATTGAACCAATTAATAATTTTAGCAAAGTTACAGAATATAAAATAAACTTACATCAGTATTTCTACATATTACCAACAAAACTCAGCAGAAAGAGATAGAAAGAGAAATTCCATTTAAAATAACTACAGACAATCTAAATACTTGGAAGTCTACCTGCCAAGACAAAC